CTAACACATTGTACAGCATAAAATTTTATTTACAATATTTGCTTCTCAAAGGAGTAGTGTGATTAAGAGTTCAATTCAAAATGGTGCGATTTTTGCTGAAATCAACCTAAGAACCAATCAGATTGCAGGATTCACKTGTGATTTCAAAATGTTCATAATTACTGTTTTAAAATGAGCATGTTTTCTTCAAMTCTCCGTGAATCGGTTGTTACTTGCTTCTTTGTTTGACAACATTATATTTTGTTATATATATCTTTTTTTAGAGTTCAAATACTAAAACTGTGCAACAGAAATACCACTAAATACTTCGAAAATTGTGCTAATTATATTGTTTTCTATTGTTTAATTAGCACTTTTTTGTAGTAAATAGTGGGAAGTGTTGCATGTTTTTAGTGTTTATACTCTACTTAGAGCGGATTTCGTATGACTGTGCAAAAAACACGGTACGTTCGTGCTGTGTCCGTACCGTGCCGTAGTCGTGATGCATTGGAAAATCTTATCTTTCATTGGAAATCCTAGAAGGCGAGGTTCCGTGACCGTGCCTTGCCGTGTCCGTGTTGTGCTCCGTGCTTTTGCACAGTCATACGAAATCCGCTCTATTGCTGGTTTTCAGCATACGTCAATCTAGCGGCCATCTTGCGAGGTAGTTCAACAAAGGATTTCTCATCTAGTTTCTATTGTTTAAACCTCCAACATAGCTCCAACCTCCATTGTTCTTTTAATGTTTAATACATCTCATATATGGGAATGATTAAAAACCAGAAATTGAGTCAGAAGATCTATTCTCTATAACGTTCTAAGAATTTCTTGAGATGCCTATATTGCTGATGTTTTTTCATCACTATCAAATGCTGTTCAAGTGCGTGGCGATGTTTCATCTCTGTCAATATCTGCCTTGTTGACCGACAAAACTCATCGACGAGTTTCCGAGCTTCTGTGATGAATTTCTGGCATTTTCTTTGAGTAATGTTAGCATCTAAAGCAGAAAAAAGATACAAACATTACATGTGGATAGAAAAATAAAAATACTATGACGTTTTATACCATAACAAACATGCAAAGCTTTAGTACGAAAATATTCAGTTAAGTACATGAAATTYAAATTGTACAAAATATGCGCTAAATCTTAATTCCTTTGTTTTCTAGCATATATTATAAAATTTTGTGATAWACAACGCGCGCTYTGATTGGCTGACGACCGTGYTTACATCAGAGGACAGAGATACGGCTTTCCRGCAAAATTTGTTTTTCGCTCGAAAAACGGAGAAAAATTTTATAAAAGAAATATAAAACGGCCGCTTGTGTCSTCTTCTGTCCTCTTATATAAACACGCGGTAGGAGTTGCAAAACAGAGGACAGAGACACGTGCGCCSTTTTATATTTCTTAAATAAACACTTTAATGCGCCTTCTCTGGATTGAATGCATTTAATCCGTGAAATTTAAAAAAAATCGAAATAGCATGACTTTGTGCTAATCTTGACTGAAGGAACATTCTTTAGATGATCATTTTTCTTACTAATTTGCACAAAAAATTAAAGAGATATGATTAGATGTATTTTACGGTTTATAGTCGCTCAATCTACTGATCCTGTGAAAATTCAGCTTATTCCCAATATTGTAAGGTTTTTTAAAAGTTCTTTTTCATGGTACCAACTCTATTGTTATTATTCATTTTCACTATACGTCACAGCGGCCATCTTGGAGGAACTTTAACAAACGATTTCTTTAACATGGCCGCCGGTCTTTTATCTTTTGAATTTCATGGGAATAATTTAAAACGATCAAATTGTAAATCTTCCCACGCGATGAAATTCGGATACTTACCATTAATATGTTTTACTTTGTTTTCAAGCTGTTTCTTCTTATAATATAATTGCCATATCAGACCGATACAGATGGCACAGAAGAGTAGACATCCAAGAACCGCAAGGGTTTGTTGATAGATCACAAGAGATGAATCGAAGATGTTCACAGGTGCATCTTCCTCTGAATGACCGCTATTTAGCTGAAACGTTCAGTGAAAATTTATTAAATTTAAGTATAGCAGGCGACCAAGCAAACAACCAAGCAACCAACTAACCAAGCAAGCAACCAAGCAACCAAGCAACCAAGCAACCAAGCGACCAAGCAACCAAGCAACCAAGCAACCAAGCAACCAAGCAACCAAG